TACTATCGATAAGATCTTCAATTCTCATTTAGAAAGTTTCGGCTAGAAACCACTTTATCTCAAATTCGAGTATTCGGGCTGCATACCGCTAACTCGAAACTTCGAAAAATCATAACTTCCTCACATGAAGTCAGATTTAGACGTTCTTTTTATGCACGCTCTCGGTTTAACGTATTCTACGACTTTCATTTAGATCGCTAAGGACAAATATCGCTCTAACTTAAATTCACTATTTACGTCGCGCTGTGTCGTGCCGATTCTGTCGCGAAACTTCGACAGGTCATAACTTCTTCGTTATAACTCGGATTTCGGCGTTCTTTATATGTACAGAATCCTTGTAACATATACTATAACTTAGTTAAGATTAAACCTTCTAAATAATATCTTTCCTCAAAAAGTCATTTTTGACGCTCATTGTCCTTAAATTGACTAGCCCAGATCTACGGGCGTTACAATTATCTCCCCCTTAGGACGATTACGTCCCGGAATCATCAACGAAATAAGGCTTGTATAATGATTCCATACGTTATTTCTTCATCCTAGGCAATAACCGTAACTTCTATGTTTCCTCGAAATAGTATCTAACTCTAGGGTTTCCCTGACTGCAGACGATGCCCAATCTTGCATCCGCCTTTCGTACTATGTTGGACTTTCAATTGTAACCTACGAGTTACAAAATAAATCCTTACTGAGGACTCCTTCTTCTTCTTAGCATAAGTACTTTCCTTTATCTATTGTAACAGACCGATGGGTCGTGTTCTAATGACCTCTCATCGTATGATGCAACGCTTAGGCTCAAGTCTCTTAGAGTCAAATTCCAGAATGGAATATACATTCCTTCATATTCTAATGTGATATAATCACGTTTCAGCATGTAGCATTTCTATCTGCAAACTTCTTTTAACAACGAGCGCGATACCAATGATCGCATTGACTTCAATCTTCTGACTTTCGTCAGATGTTACATCGAACTTGGTTCTCTGAACCCCGTAACATACTCACCGTAGTCGGACCCCAATTTGTCATGACCGCTAGGGTCAGAATAACAACCCTCTTACTAGTCATTACCGAAACAATGCTAATGACATACCTGAATAAAACAGAATCAATTACTAGTTTCTTGGTAACCTTGCGACTTTCCCTGATCCAAGCGTGAGTCCTGTGCTTCCGGTAGTATAGATCTCTACTACTATTGACACCTACTCATACTCGTCCCAAGTATTGTCCTGCAGTCCCCAAGTCCTAAATTCACAAAACAATTTAACACATACGAATGTGTCCAAATAATCATAGAAATTTTCCTAGACTCTACTAGGACTTCTTCCATGCATATCTTCAATCATCAATTCTACTTCAACTCGGTTGGTGATGGAAATTCCAGACTATGGGACAACTTCAAGAATTACACCAATCGTTCCACCATCCTGCCAATCGAAGGTGTACCTCAGACGTACCGTACTCCTCTAAATGTTTCGTTATTTTATCAGACATATTCTAAAGGCAAGATACCACTCTTACGATATCTTTCGATATGTGTCATTCACTATCATAAGCCTTTCATTTCCTCCATTTACTCAATTCTCTACGAGTCTCCACCATAACGTTTTGTACACCCAAGCAGACGTTCGGTGTACCGGGCGAGAATTTAAGGTAAGAAAGCTTTATTTACGATAGACGTATAAATCTCCTTATCACTCCGAAACGTTTACATGCTAGTTCTAATATCGTAGTCGTACGCTTAGAATCCTAAACACATAAGGTTTCCAGATCCGGTCGGCAACAGACCATAGATCTGAACAAACAATTTCATATATGGAAAACATATAGCATTTAGCACATAAAAGCATTTTAGGCATATTTCCTAAAATATACTAGTGCTCGTGTCTAAAATATGGTAGACACTCATCTCACAATCATCACTTAGCATTCTAAGTTTAAGTCTAGAAATCCTACAAATTCCTAGTTCGCTTAAACTAATGCTCTGATACCAACTGTGACATCCCCTTTTTCACGGCCAGAAAAGACCGATTTGTTTATGCTTTGTTTTAAAATCAGAGTAATCTTTTAAAGAAAACAGTTGTGGAAATTGTCCCAAAAAAAATATGATAACCATTTATCAAAACATTTCTCAGAGAGAATGTATTTTCATTAAATAATAAAGCCTCGGGATGTCATGTTCCGATACAGACCAAAAGCATAAGCAATATAAAATAGACCTTACAACAGTCATTTATAACTACTGATCTATAATCCAAAATCTCTCGTCAAGTCCACCAACTTATACTCTTGTGCCATTACCTGTAATGCAAAGAAAACTGAATGGGTCAGGCTTGGGAGCCTGGTGAGCATATAGGGTTTTCAACCCACAATAATATAATTATTATATTCAATCATCAAACAATCAACCCAATTACTCATCCCCATTATCTTCTTTTATTCTTCCCTAAAGATATTATCCTAAGGGTCATCTCCTATATCATATTTACTTCTCATCTCCTTACATCTTATTTCCTTATATGTTTGTTCCTAAGAACTTTTCCTAAGGATCATCGCCTACATCGCATAGACAATACTAATTCGGGGATCACTCCCTCAATATGTGTCTAGTAAGGGTTAGGGTATCATCGCATGATTACGCAGCCACACCATTGCCTGGAATCGTAAATCATAATAAGGGTTAGACTATCATCGCATGAATACGCAGCCACAACATCGCCTGGACTCGTAATTCATAATAAGGTTTAGTCTATCATCGCATGAATACGTAGCCACAACATCGCCTGGACTCGTAATTCATAATAAGGGTTAGACTATCATCGGACGAATACATAGCCACAACATCGCCTGGACTCGTAATTTATAATAAGGGTTAGACTATCATCGCATGAATACGTAGCCACAACATCGCCTGGACTCGTAATTCATAATAAGGGTTAGACTATCATCGCATGAATACGTAGCCATAACATCGCCTGGACTCGTAATTCATAACCTATCTATCATCACCTAATTATCCTCACCATTATATCCTCACCTATCTCTTATCACAATTTTTCATCACACACCAACTATTTCATCTACCCATGTTCTACCCAACATATTTGTAGATATAAATTACATATACAGCTTAAAACTATTTAAAAACTCGTATAAAACATTCATTCAGCATCCATCTCAAGTAAACAAACAAAGTATAAACACATAGCATGTATTTCATAGCAAATACTTCATATCTATGCGGTAGAAGAAAGTAACCACACACTCACACATATAAACAACAATATATTTAATACATTCAAACAATACTTGTATTATTATCGTGTTTATGAAAGGGACTATACACTCACACATATAAACAACAATATATATATATATATATATATATATATATATATATATATATTATATATATATATATATATATATATATAAACACATAACACGTATTTCATAGCAAATACTTAATATTTATGCGTTAGAAGAAAGTAACTATACACTCACACATATAAACAACAATATATATACACATAGCACGTATTTTATAAAATACTTCATATCTATGTGTAAGATGAAAGTGACTATACACTCACTTGATCAGAAGATGATCGGGCGGCACTACGGCTCTAAGAGTAGTATTTCTTCGGTGAAACTAGAAGATCTTCACACGCCGGGCTTCTCGCAGGCAGAGCTTCGGCTCGGAAACTCTTTTCTTCTCGGGATCTTCGGGCTTCGGGACTTGCTTCGGGTCTCGGGATGATACCGGGGCTTCGGGGGGTTAAAATAGGGCTTAGAGAGTGTATCGGGAGTGAGAGAGATGAGAAGGAGAAACCAAAATCGGCTGACCCTCGATTTCTATTTATAGGGTGAATTTTCTGGGTTCACCTCGTGAGTTTCTAATATTCACCTCGTGAGCTAGGCTCACCTCGTGAGCTACATATGCTCACCTCGTGAGCTCTGACACAGCCTTGGGGTTCACGCCCCGAACTTCAGAAATTCATAACTTTCGCATACGAGCTCCGTTTTCGACGTTCTTTATATCCACGCGTAGGTGAGATTATGCTCTACAACTCTTGTTTAGACTCTATTGGCTAATTTTTATTTATTTTTAATATATTATAAATATATTATTTTTAGTAGGCCGGGACAGGAAAACTCCATTAGAAATCCATAAATTCTTCGTCTGACGTCCGTTTTCGTCTGTCTTTTTACCGTTGGACTACTATCGATGAGATCTTCAATTCTCATTTAGAAAGTTTCGGCTAGAAACCACTTTATCTCAAATTCGAGTATTCGGGTTGCATACCGCTAACTCGAAACTTCGAAAAATCATAACTTCCTCATACGAAGTCAGATTTTGACGTTCTTTTTATGCACGCTCTCGGTTTAACGTATTCTACGACTTTAATTTAGATCGCTAAGGACAAATATCGCTCTAACGTAAATTCACTATTTACGTCGCGCTGTGTCGTGTCGGTTCTGTCGCGAAACTTCGACAGGTCATAACCTATTCGTTATAACTCGGATTTCGGCGTTCTTTATATGTACAGAATCCTTGTAACATATACTATAACTTAGTTAAGATTAATCCTTCTAAATAATCTTTCCTCAAAAAGTCATTTTTGACGCTCATTGTCCTTAAATTGACTAGCCCAGATCTATGGGCGTTACAGCAACTGTATCTAGATAGAACCCAGATGATCGAAAATAAGTTGTATGGCTTCCTCATCTAGATTTCGATCATCTTCTAAGCTTTGAATTTTATCACGATGACCTGTGGAATTTCCCTAGTTCAGTAGTGATGATGTGAATTTGATGAACGAGGCGTGATATGCGAGAAACTAAGATGGGTATAGCAGGATCGAAAGATGCCTCATGGGGTGGAGTGGGTTGTCGAGCTCGTGATGACTCTCCGACCTCGAACTGGGATGGTATTTCATCCTCAGCTCTCCATTCTCGTAGATGTGTTACCCAGGCTGGAGTCAAAAGTACCCTTTTTGGGACTACTGGGGATGCTGGTGGTGGAGTGTCTCGCTTCCGTTTACGAATAGGTATGGATTTTCGTGGAGTGTATGCCACAAAAGGACCATTATAAGTATGCCGGTATATATGGAAGGCTGGTAGGGGTGGGGGGTTTGTTGCTCAATGGCTGGTTCAGGCTCCTTGGTTGTCTCTCTTTCTTCCTCGGGCTCCTCATCCTCCCACTCAGAGTAATCAACTTCTTCCTCCGTGGGGTCTATCTCCTCATCAACCGACTCAGTCACTACATCAACAAACTCAGTCTCCTCCTCAACAGGCTCAGTCTCTACTGATGGGTTTTTGAGCATTCTAACACTTCCTAAGTGTACATGCAACCCTAATAACCTTGAATCTATGTTTTCTCTATATACATGCAAATTTCTTTTTCAAGGTTATTTCCTAACTAGCATGGCATGGGGATTACATAAAACATAAAAACTAGTAGAAATACATACCTTGTTGTTGCTTGGATTCCTTCAAGACTTTGTGAGCCTAGCACCCCAAATGTTGTGCCTCAAATGCTTCACACAACACCACAAGACTTGGAATAACTTGAGAGAATACTTCTAGCACTCAAAATCGGTTATGCCCTCTCTAGTAACACTATGTCCACTAGGTCATCATTTTGCTAGCCATAGGGTTCCTTTTATAGTGTTGTCACAATTAGGGTCTACACATGAATGCCCTTAATTGTCATGACTCTTGATTTCCCATGACCCATGGATTTGTAACTCCCATGGACTATCCATGGAGCTCCATATGGTTATAACCAAACCCATAAACCATGGATCATTAATCCACCATAAAAGAATTGATGATTGTCATAATCAACCCTATATATTTAATTAGTCTCACTTTGATCACCAAATTAATACTAGATTAATACTTGATCAATACTAATTAAATAATACTATTATTAATATATTAGAACTTATAATATATTAATAATCATAAGTGCCTTATTCTCTCATTTAGTCTATCCAAGTATTGCAATGCCATGCAACCCAAATGGACCATGCCGGGTCGGGTCAAGTACATACCAAATAAAGTTATGGACTTAGACACTATATCCAACAGTCTCCCACTTGGATAAGTCTAATAACTATATTTGCAAATATGATTTCAAAATCCGACTAGCAATCGTAGCTCTTTCAAAGTCTCTCGGAACTGAGATGATGATGATACGCCATTTAAGATAAGTGATCATATAATCCTCTGTTCTCATGATATCAGTCGGACAAACACATGGAACATGGTCTTACTTATTGTCCAACATTTGTTTCTCGATCTCTGATTTGTTTCGACATAGAACTAAATTGAACACATCAATTAGGTTCTGACCGGGCCCGGTACATAAGTCAAAACCAAATCATCGAGGGGCCCAGATATCGCTTCTATTTCTAGAAGGAACAGATAAACTTCGACTGATATGCTTGTACTAACTACTTGTTGAATTATTCACAAAGGCACGTTTTATGACATCGAGTTACCAATGCGTTTTCGTACAATCAATGAATAACCAACTCATAGCCAACAACTCATATCTCTAGGTTTGAAGATTTATATGATATTACCGTCTCACGATCACTCGAGATAAATTCCATGAAGTGATGCAAGTGAGCGTGGGTTGGATCCAATACTCAGCCCTTATGAGTACTCATGAATGTTGTAGCAACCATTGCATTATCCAAAGCACTTTTAGACAAATCATACAAGCCAAATTCATGACAGTCTTAAATCAATACTTACTTCCAAAGTTTGACTGACTGTGGATGGTTTGAATAATAACATAATTATTCTGGAAGTAAAAACATGCAAAATTGAAACATAGTAAACAATCAACACAAGATAGTAACACCTTACTCATAAATAAATAACAACTTTTATTTATCATCAAATGTCAATTACATTTTACAAGTTTCAGGAATCTAATTATTGAAACTAATATCATCCTTCAGCCCAATGCGCCTCGCATGCTGTAAATGCTTAACCCTGCTCAGTCCCTTCGTGAGGGGATCTGCCGGGTTCTGATCTGATGATACCCTCTTAGCCACGAGGAGTCCTTCTATTCGATGTCTGATGAAATGGTATTTTCTGTCAATGTGCCTAGATCTCCCGTGATCTCTTGGTTCCTTAGCCAAAGCAACCGCACTTTCGCTGTCACAGAAAATTTCCATTGGCTCTTTTATAGCTGGTACAACTCCAAGGTCTCCGATGAAGTTCTTCAGCCATATCGCCTCCTTAGCTGCTTCACTTGCTGCTATGTACTCTGATTCACAAGTAGAATCAGCTACTGTCTCCTGCTTGGAACTTTTCCAAGTAATTGCCCCTCCATTTAGGATAAAGACCCAGCCTGACTGAGAGCGGAAATTATCCCTATCAGTCTGGAAGCTAGCATCGCTATATCCTTCCACTCTCAAGTCATCACTGCCTCCGAGGGTAAGGACCCAATCCTTAGTCCTCCGCAGATACTTGAGAATGTTCTTTACCGCTGTCCAGTGTGCCTTGCCAGGGTTCCCTTGATATCTACTGACCATGCTCAAAGCAAAGGCCACATCAGGGCGAGTACAAGTCATAGCATACATGATCGAGCCCACAGCGGAAGCATATGGTATATGACTCATTTCAGCTATCTCAGCCTCTGTACTCGGACTCTGAGTCTTACTCAGCTTGGCATTACTCTGGATTGGTAATTCTCCTTTCTTGGAATCTTGCATACTGAACCTCTTCAGTACCTTATCCACATAAGTACTTTGACTAAGTCCAATTAGTCTCTTACTCCTATCTCTCAATATCCTTATCCCTAGGATATAGGCAGCTTCCCCAAGGTCCTTCATAGCGAAACACTTCCCAAGCCAGGACTTAACCTCCTGCAAGGTTGGGACGTCGTTTCCTATGAGAAGTATGTCATCCACATACAACACCAAGAAGCTAACTATGCTCCCACTAGCCCTGACATACACACAAGACTCATCCTCACTCCTAGAAAAGCCAAACTCTTTGACTTTCTCATCAAAGCAAAGATTCCATCTGCGAGATGCTTGTTTCAATCCATAAATGGATTTATCAAGCTTACACACTCTATTAGGGTATCTTGTATCGACAAAACCCTCTGGTTGAGCCATGTAAACATCCTCAGCCAACTTTCCATTAAGGAAAGCGGTTTTGACATCCATTTGCCATATTTCATAATCATGAAATGCAGCTATGGCTAACAATACTCTAATAGACTTAATATTAGCTACTGGTGACAAGGTCTCATCATAGTCAACTCCCGGAGTTTGAGTAAAGCCCTTCGCAACCAGTCGCGCTTTGTAAGTATGTACCTTCCCATCCATGTCGGTCTTCTTCTTGAAGATCCATTTGCACCCAACTGTCTTACGACCTGGTACATTGTCAACCAAGTTCCAAACTTGATTGTCATACATGGACTGAATCTCGCTGTCCATAGCCTCCTTCCATTTAGCTGACTCAGGGCCTGCCATGGCTTCCCTGTAATTATTAGGTTCATCCAAATCTATTAGTGTACTATCACTAATAAATGTATCACCTTCAGTGGTGATGTGATAACCATAATAAAAATAAGGTGTGTTCCTCACCCTAGTGGAACGTCTTGGAGGTACAGACTCATCTATCGGATCAACAGGAGTTTCCTCCTCAGGTTGGTCGATAGCATTTGAGGTTCCTTCACCACTTGACTCTTGAAGCTCTTCAAGGTCAATTTGCCTCCCACTGTCCCCTTGGCTTATGAATTCTCTCTCACGAAAGACTCCTCTTCTTGCTACAAAAACCACATTATCACTGGGTCTGTAGAAGAGGTAACCAAAGGATCTCTGTGGGTAGCCGATGAAAATACACCTCTCACTTCGAGGTTCAAGCTTATCATGAGTCTCACGCCTCACGAAAGCTTCACCACCCCAAATTTTGATGTGGTCCAAATTGGGAACTTTCCCAGTCCACATCTCGTGAGGTGTTTTGTCAACCTTTTTAGTAGGGACTAGATTAAGGATATGGGCGGCAGTCTCTAAGGCATACCCCCAGAAAGAGATTGGTAACGAAGCTCGACTCATCATGGAACGAACCATATCCAACAAGGTTCGATTGCGCCTCTCAGCTACACCATTCAACTGTGGTGTTATGGGAGGTGTCAATTGTGAGACAATCCCACATTCCTTAAGATAGTCAAGGAACTCAATGCTAAGATACTCTCCTCCCCGATCGGATCGGAGCATCTTGATGTTCCTGCCCAATTGATTCTCCACTTCCTGCTTAAACTCTTTGAACTTTTCAAAGGTTTCTGACTTATGCTTGATTAAGTAAATACATCCATACCTACTGTAATCATCAGTAAAAGTCACATAATAGCGATTAGCATCCCTTGTAGCAACTCTGAAGGGCCCACACACATCCGTGTGTACAAGGTCCAACAAACCTTCACCCCTATCACAAGTACCTGTGAAGGGTGACTTTGTCATTTTTCCAAGTAAACAAGACTCGCAACTATCATCTGACTTGAGGTCAAATGATTCCAAGACTCCAGCCTTTTGGAGTTGGCCTATGCGCTTCTTGTACTGTACCAACTTAGATAATGTATTTGGCCTAAACTCTTGAGTTTGTGTTCCTATGCATTTTTTTTTGTTATTACATATATAAGTGTTTTTCATTGAGGGTTTGAGTTTATAAATAACTCTATATATGAAGTTTGTTTGGGTGTTTTATTAGTTTTTGTTTGGTACTTCAAGGCTATTAAGTAAGGATCAGTCAATCAAGAAAAGTCAGAGGGCGGGATCAATTCAGCATATAGCTTTTCTGAAATCCAACAACCCATGTCGACAAATCCATCTTAGACATTTCTCCCGTAAGTAGTTTAAAGTAGTGTAATTAATACTTTTATTATTATGTTTAAGGGATAAACTTAATCGGAGTAGTTAGTCTAAATCTATAGTTGTAATTTCCTAAGAAAATACTAGTTCACTATAGCCAATAGCTCTGGTACCAATCTGTCACACCCCGGCCGACAGCGGAAATATCGAGCTTGTGCGACATCATCATGGTTCACAGTTATTGTTTACATTGAACAGTATAACACAAATGTTATTTTTATATTACAAAATATATTACATATCGTACTAAATTTTTAGAATACAAGAAACCAAAAATTACAAGTAGTGCTTAATCAAATAAGTACAATAAAGATTTCCCATGAAGATTTCCCAAAAGATTGATACGGCCGACTCTTATTTTCCTGAGAATACATGTGATTTAAAAATGTCAACATAAAGTTTGTGAGTTCACAGGTTTGTATATT